CTCGCAGGCTTCCCCCCGCTGCCACCTCGTCTGCCTTCCCCCATCGTGTCTTTGTGTCACGGCTGTCTCTGTTCCCTTTCTCATGCTTCTTCATTCCGGCTCCAGAAGAAAGGGAAGGCTCCGGGGAGACCTTACCGTGGCCCTTCAGTATTTAAAGGGGGCTTATATGAAGGACTTTTCACCAAGGCCTGTAGCGTCAGGACAAGGGACGACGGTTTTAAACTGAAAGGGTGGGTTTAGACTGCACGTAAGGAATTAATTTTTTACCACGAGGGCGGTGAGGCACTGGCCATGTTGCCCAGAGAAGCTGTGCCTGCCCCATCGTGGGAAGTGTTCAAGGCCAGGTTGGATGGAGCTCTGAGCAACCCGGTCTAGCAGAAGATGTCCCTGCCCGTGTCAGGGGGGTTGGAACCAGATGATCTTTAAGGTCCCTTCCAGCCCGAACCATTCTCTGGTTCTGTGAGTCCCAAATTCCAGAGCCTGACGCCTTCCCAAACTGCTCTATAAATGAGGTACGGCTGCTGTTTTGATGAAAGGAAGCTCAGAGTGCATGGGAACAAATTAAACAAAAAAAATCTGGGTTTACTAAAAGGTTAAAAAGCAGCCTAGATTTTCGTGAGAGTTTCACGCACTTGAGTCACATCGTTTGGAAGAAGTGAGTCAACCAAGAGGGCATGACACACCTGGTTTTGGCTCTGGAGAACCTGAACTGATACTTGTCTCTGTGCTTAAATACTGACATGGATACTCCTTAAAAAATTGACTACAATTGTTAAATAACCGGTGTTAAATGCTGGCGTTTTCCACAGTTATTCAAAGCAGAAGAAACAAAAGACTTGTTTATGCTCTGGTGCCCTTGAACAAAGTTGCCACAACTTTTCCTTCTGACCCGATATGGTGGGAAAACAGCTCTGTTGTCCCCACTGTGCTTGCTGGATTGTTTTCTGGTTTATTCCCAGCCCATTTTAAACGTCTCTGTCTAGTACTTGTTCTGCAGACCTTATACCCGAATGTTGCTTCACTGGGAGAAGTGTTGCTGACCAGGAGAATCAGCCGCTGCAAGAGAGAAATTAAGTTGTGTAAATAAGAGAACGTGCTCCATGAGGTGGACAACCAAGAGGAAGGACCAGTGAAGTACATACTCGCAGAGTGCCCTATGTAGCCAGCTGGAGGAGGAGAAAGCCTTTGCTAAAGGCTTTCACCGAGGCTGCGAGGGAGCACAGCTTAAAATCCTGAAAAATAAATTTTAAGGAGACAGTGGTAAATGGGAAAAATGTGGTAGCGACGGTGTTCAGCGTGCTCTCCGCAAGCTGGAGATCTGGTCCTCGGGATGTGTACCTGGACCAGAGTCACAGGGAGGGAGGATGGAACCTGGGGTCAAATTGTCAGGAGCACAGCACAGAGGAACATTTACCTGGCGATGCAAAAGAAGATGCTGATCGCAGGACAGGACAACATCAACCTCACCGAGGGTGGGGGCACAAAGGAGACGGGTGTGGAAAAGGAAGAGGACCTATAGCTGTTTGGGAACGTGTTTTTCCTGTCTCCCAGAAGAAGTGCTTCCATATATTTTGAGTGGCGTGGCTGAAGGTACTGGAAAGGAAGCCGGTCGCTCACTGGGTGAGGAGAAGCTGGGAAGATGGCCAAGGACGCCTTGCTAAAAGCTTTGAAACATGATACTCACAGAGGGGAGCATCATCAGAAGAGCAGCAATGAAAGGCTGGAGGATGACAGTAGGTTGGTTTGTTGTGAATAATTTATAGTAGTTTAATTCATACCAAAATAATTTATAGTAAGGATTTTAATCACAATTCCAATCACCAAGTAAGTAAATCTGAATTAAGTAAGCGCTGTTAATCGTATTTTGTAGGCATACTTTTTAATGATTTTCTTCCCTAAAGGAAAGATTGATTCTCATTGGTGAACACTCAGAAATCTTAAACTAAGAACAATCTTTTCACAAAATAACTCCCTTTTTTGGTAGCAAGGAGAATACACTACATATACACACAAGTAGTTCTGTAAGTTAACATGCATTTAATTATTTATTTAACCCACAAGTTTTCAGTGTCATGGTTTTGTAAGCTGTTGAATTACACTTCCTATTTATTAAATAATTCCTTTGTTTATTCCAGACTTGACAAGATGTTTGTGGAATTGGAATACTGGAAAAGAAAAAAACTAGAATTTTCAATTTGTCTTATAAGTGAAGTATGATGAATAGATCTAAGACATGCTTTATGTTTAAAGTTGAGATATTTATTAAACAAAGCTTAAGAAACTGAGATGGTAACTGTAATATATCTCACACCTAATGATTATTCAGATTGGAAGGGGAAACTAAACTTTCTGGCTTTAATATTGTCTAAGTTTGTGGTTGATTTTCTTGAAGACCTTGGCAACAGGTATATTGTGCTTCAATTTATTTCTTAATGCAATGTAAGCCCAATTATTTTTATAAGTGACTGTAAATCTGGGGTTTAAAATGGATGGCCGTCTTTTCATGTGTAATTTAAATAGGTTTAACTAGGCAAAAAATTACATTCAGATTTTTTTTCTTTTAAAAACATTAAGATATTTCTAGTTAAAGAAAAAAAAAACAGAACCGCAAAGAAAATCTTTATTAACAACTTGGCTGGCTGCTCATGCTTTCACACTGTTCCCTCCGGACTCTCTCCCATTTCAAGTGCTCCCTGTCCTCTGATATGTTGACAAATAACATGCAGCCTTCTAGTTGCAAAACCGAGCTGTCTGCTTGTTAAGGTAACGTCTTACAGAGGGACTGGGTCACAGACATTGGCTTCTTGATAGCTCCCCACGTTCTTCCTTCCTCTCCTCCGCCTTCGAAATGCTGTGCAGATTCCACTCTTCTTCCTTGTAGCAGTTCACACCGTGTCGCCTGTACCAGTCTGCGGTGGCTTGCCTCGGTTCCCAGGGTACAGGGTTTATGGCCATCAACTACACTCAGCTGTGGCTCTCCAGGTCTCACAGACTGTGAAGAATAATGGTCTTCAAACTGGTTTCCCCTTTTCTTGTTTGTGTTGGTGGAGAATTTCCCTCTGCCCACTGCAGTTCTCCTGGTTGCACGGGAAGATGTCCTGTCGGTGCCCTGTAGACTGCTATGCTTTCTCTCCTTTGGGACTTTGGAGTGAGGTGAGGGTTGAGGCTTTTTCAGTACTCTGTTTATTTTGTCATGGCCCTATGTGTCCAGATGTCCACTGCTGCTACTTGGCTGTTACCTCTAGTTTTGTCCTACCCACCTCTTGCCCTGGGTTGGTTTGCTGAAACTGCTGTGCTTGGTGGTTACTGATGTAGTTACTTCATGGTTCTATACAGATGTTGCTCATCTGTGGACAGCGTTTTGGGTCTGTTGCTGCAGAAGGCACCCTAGCTGAGAAACCTCTGTCTGCCCTGTGGTATTTTTGATCTTTTACATCCATTTCGATTAGTGATTACTCCTCTTTAAACAAAACCACGTGTCAGACATGTAATTTGCACTTCACACAGAGGAGCAGGAACCCTTGCTCCTCATCATCAGGCAAAATGAAAAACGCGTAATTTTATAGTCAGTATCATCCCATGCTGTTTGAAATGTGCACTGGATACACTGGTCATTTTTTGTTGGTCCTTGTTCTTGCTCCACTCCACTCTGCTTCTGGAATATGGACCTGGAGCATTACCATGTGGAAGGTAAAACACTTCACGACATTAGACGAGTTATATGCACACCTTCCCTGGGAGATAAGGAAATGTGATTTTTTACATATGCCTGACTGGGGAGCAGAGACTAAGGTCAAGGTGCACCAGTCAAGTGGAAGATGCTTAAACAGAAGTGTCTCTGGCCCTATGTGGCTTATGCAAGGTGCCACTGGCAGGGCAGGGAGATGAAGCTGGCACTCCAGAGCCTGGAGGGAGCATCCCAAAGCACTCCTCTCATTTACGGACGTGAATGTTATTATCAGTGTATCAGTCTGTGCCTTTTCTATGCGTGAGACTTGTAGCGTATATTAATAGTGCTATAGTCACAGAATCACAGAATCACAGAATAGTAGGGGTTGGAAGGGACCTCTGTGGGTCACCCAGTCCAACCCTCCTGCCGAAGCAGGGTCACCTCCAGCAAGCTGCACAGGACCTTGTCCAGGCGGGTCTTGAATATCTCCAGAGAAGGAGACTCCACAGCCTCCCTGGGCAGCCTGTGCCAGGGCTCCGTCACCCTCAGAGGGAAGAAGTTCTTCCTCACGTCCTGGGGAG